CATTTATAGTGTCGTGTAATAATGGACTATTGATTCTTAATTCTTAAATTTCAGATATGGTTTCCTTGTACATTAAAGTTGTTATGTTTTGTTTGTTTCATTGTATATTGATTTGTGTTATAAACTTTAAAGAAAACTTATGTGTTGAAAGAAAAGCTGTCCCTTGTGTTAGCAAAGGCACTGTTCAGTTGTTTGGTTAAGCATAAACACAAACACAAGCCTATTATTAACTACAGTCCTTTCTTTCTTTGTATGTTAATCACGCACCCCTCCTAATCTGGAGATCATAACTTTCAAGTTCATTAGATGTGAATCAACTATACTTGTTGAAGGAAATGTATCGTCATTGTTGATGTTGACAAGAAAGAGGAACTACTATATTGCCGTGCAAGATCTCATGTTGTGTATAGATTCGAGATGTTTCTCTTTGGTAGTTCACTTTGTTGTAGGTTAAACCTTCAGGCGTGGTTATTTATCCTTGACATTCCAAAAAAATTTGTACTCTTATTTCTCTATGTATACAAGTACTTGGAGTACACTGGCAAGTGAAAACTTATCTTTACTCTATTAAGTCTTAGAAGATGCCCCGCTTACAATTTATTCTTTGATTTGATTTCCCAACACAATTAAATCTTATTTGAAGCTGTTGTTGGAAGAATGCTATATTTTCTTAGAATTCAACATTGCCTACAATGCACACACAAGCAACATCACTTTATTACACTAAGTGCACCTGATCTCGGAGTGAAGGGAATATCCATTTAATTTTATTTTAGTATGATAAAGTTATGGAGCTATTGGATCACTTCAGAATCTTCATTACGTCAAGGATGAAATTGTACTTGATGTTCTATTTTATAAACATGTCAGCGATGTAGAAAATAATGCCTCTTTTTGTGTAGTGTTGGGAAACAGATATTGTCAAAAGATGTTGATAGCAACTGTCATGGCATGCTTGATTTCATATTGTAACAGATAAAACAATGTAACTTGAAATGGAGTTCAAGATGCATTTCCAGGTGGTTATGACAATGATTGTCGTGAATTCCAATACTTGGTAATGTTCAAGCATTTAAGCTGCACTACCACCATGAGGATTAACTTGACCCAACATTCTAGTCATGTACTCAGATTGTTAGTATTTATACTCTTTATGCAGGTCCTTAATCAAATCAGAATAAAACTGTCTATACCCTACAAATCTCTGGTTAATCTTCTTTTTCTTTTCTCGGAGTTGTGCGTGCGAGCCATATGCCCCGTTGTCGCCGTTTCCTGACTCGTTGAGCAACAAAGAGAGTCACACGGAAACGGTGATAAAAGTATACAAAATATTACTGGGCGTCGTTCAACCCAAAGTTCTTAAACGAAACCATACCAAGAGAAGCCTAGTATTTACTGATCCTGCCGCGCGGGGACGCGTCCCTCTCATACGGTGTTTTTTTTTTTTTTTTTTTTCTTTTTCAGAGCTCTATAGCTCATATATGTTGCATAACTTGCTGTTCCCAATTGGTACCCAATAGGCTGTGAAAGCTACAAAAACAGGGACATTACGTTATCCGCGCTGAGGGTTCGTCCAGAAAGTAAGTTTTCTCAGATTCATTCGGCAAATTTTCGGGTGCTCGGCGCCTGCGATACTCGGGGTAGGCCACCCTGCAGTACACGCGTGCACTGCAGACACGATGTTTGTCTACCTAACGGGCGCTAACGTCCCTCCCAAGTAGCAGAGCTGCATAAGATGTGCATTTTGTGTCCAATCTAAAAAGCGCCTAATATGCGTGTAGGCGCCTAATATGCGCGCACATGCACTTGAAATGCGCATTTCATATGGGACATATAATGCGAATGCAGTTTGCTTCATTTTGCTACCTGGGCTGTTTGTAGCTACACGATTGTAGCGGGAAAAAAATTTGCGGCTGGGATTCGATCCCTGGGCCGACTGTTTCCGGACCACACTCTAGCGGGCTCGCCACTATGCTATCGCCTGCTCCTGTGGACGGAACGGTCAAAACTCGGTCCTACTTTAAGAGTCTTGATTTGCCGTATTGCACGCGTTCAGATCGGGTCAAGTCCACCTCCTCTGCGCGCTGCAGCCCGGGCCGAAATCCTTGCCAGAAACACGGGAAAAGGCCGATAAATCCGCGTTCCCCGCTCATTTACTGGCCATTTTCCTTGTTTCTGGCCAGGAGTCGACCCGGGCTGCAGCGCGTCGAGGAGGTGGACTTGACCCGACCTGAACGAGTGCAATCCGGGAGACCAAGACTCGTAAAAAAAGGACCGAATTCCGAACCCCCCGCTAGTGGAGCCGACAGCCGAGTGGCGAGCGCGCTGGAGCATGCTTCACAAAACACCCTCCGCCCTGGGTTCAAATGCTAGTCGGGGCGATCATTTTGATTATTTTTTTTGGCAGAGGGGGAGGGGGGGGGGGCTGCCGAGTAAGCGGTCAAGTCCACCTCCCCATGTCAGCTGGTCTTTTGTCCTAATCCTTGGCCGCAAACTACTAAATGGGAAAAAATAAGCCACGGTCAGTATTCGAACCCATGACCATCCGCGTCCCGGGCGCGCGCTCTTCCAACTGAGCCAATGAGGCTTTTGCAAAGTTGAAGCTTATCTCCGCGGTGGCTTACACCCCGAAGCATATGGCTGGCAGAGGGGCAAAAGGGTTCCGTCGACTGGATTCGAACCAGCGACTGTTTGCGTACCGGCCCCTCACATCAGGTGTCGCGCGGCTGTAAAGTCATAGCCAGCGGAGCGCGAAAATTATGACCGGGACGAGATTCGAACCAGCGACCAGGAACATACCGGACCCGGACGCTACCGACTTGGCCACGACGGAACTATACAGATAATTCTCGGCGGCATCCAGATCTCAGCTGTGACTGACGCCCGCAGACACTCTTGGCCAGCAGAGCAGGAAAAATGATCGCGGACGGGATTCGAACTACCGACCATTCCCATACTATCTGCCAACGATCACGCTTTAACACGCTCGGCTACCAGCTTGCCCCTTCAGGGCCGAGGTCTGAGATCGGACCTGTCTAACGGTAGACAAAAAGCGGCAAAGAAAAAATTTGCCCCACCCGGGAGTTGATCTTACGGCCGACAATTTTGGTTCGGATGAAGCTGCATGCGGTTATGTCGACTGTAGCTACAACTGTTTAGCTACGAAAGGAGCTTCTGGCTGGTGGCGTCGGACATCGTATGTTGCCCCATTTGTGACCAAATTTTTGTGTCCATATACAGGGACGTGTCTACTACCACTTTTGTCGCCGCGACACGGACACGAATTGTAGCTTGGACGCCTGCGAGGTAGGCCATGGCTCCTCTCTAATGCGTCTGTCTGTCGTGACGGGGACTTTGGGTTTAGGCTCCTTTTGGCCCCAGGCACATAAATCCTTTCTAAAGCTGAGAAGTGACGCCTTGTCAATCTAGGCGTGGGCCTACAATCGTGTAGCTACAAACAGGGACGTTAGCGCCCGTTAGGTAGACAAACATCGTGTCTGCAGTGCACGCGTGTACTGCAGGGTGGCCTACCCCGAGTATCGCAGGCGCCAAGCACCCGAAAATTTGCAGAATGAATCTGAGAAAACTTACTTTCTGGACGAACCCTCAACGCGGATGACGTGATGTCCATGGTTTTGTAGCTTTCACAGCCTGTTGGGTACCCCTTATGAACAGCAAGTTAGGCGCTATGAGAGCTTGCTTAGGCTGATGTTGGAAGGTTCGCAACAAGGAATGAATGACGGACTCATCGTCGTCGAGAGCGAACATTTGGATGGAGGCACCATATTGTAATGGATCTGACATTTATTTTCATTATTTGGCGATGTGTACACAAAATACATTCAACATACACGTGAATTCAAATATGCTGCCTGTGACACCCTGGAATGTATATTTTAACAGGATAAATTACAGATTTCAATGTAGAACGCAAATAGATCGGCAGTTGTAACATTAAATGATTTGTAAAATAACAAAAAAGGACAACAAAACTAACACACAAGGGTCCAAGCATTTATGGGGAATTGATAAAACAGGGGCATTGGAATATGAGCACACTTTTAGCATGGAAATAAATATCATCACGTTATATTGCACATTTAGATTCAGGAAACAAACTGAACATATGTTTTCTATCATCACAGTATCTGGAGATTATAGATCTACATCTGACAGGGTTAACAAAGATATCACCATAAATTATAAGTATAACTAATTTATGCTTACAAGCTTTAAAAGTAGATGACATTTTGAAAATTCTTGACAAACACTACCCAATCATTTAACAATTGAACAATGTATTTTCAGTCTGCCAATTGTATTAGGGCAACTAGCTTCGCCACTAGACTAGTATAATGTGTGCCAGATATGGGACCCACACATTATCAAATTACCATCAGCGTGTTTCCAGATTTGGAAACAAAACACGAAGCCGCTGCGACACACATGTGTTATTAATTAACAAATTAATTATTCTAAATCACGTCCATTTTTAAATCCTTCCGCACATCGGAGACTCTCGAGGCATTACATCGTTGCACGCACACTAGACGGGCGTGACGGTGACAGAATCGATGTCGCCAATGGACTTGACCCGCCGGTGCCTCCGCTTGGCGGCCGCTGAGCTCCTGTCGGCGTCAGCGCCGCCAGGTACGCCGGGCGCGGCGCTCGCGGACGAGAGGGGAGGGTCGTTGAAGGTGTCCCCCGAGCTGCTGCTGTCGCCGCCCGCCGGCCCCTGCGGCCGTCTCGCCTCACCCGCGGCGGCGCCGCCGGCACCACCTCCGGTCGACGGCGAGGACAGCGCCGACGGCGACTCGGACGACCCGCCGGTCTCTGAGGACGAGGTCGGTGACGCCAGGCTGGTGCTGCGGTGGTGCTTGCTGTGGTGGTGGTGCGCGAGCGTGTGGTGCCGACCCTCGCCGCGCGACTCCCGCATCACGGCCTGGTGCTGCTGCATGAGCTGGTGCTGCAGCTGCTGCTGCCGCAGGCTGTCGCTACGCGCCTGGTGGTGATCCCGGAAGGAGTCCCGCTGGAGATCGCGTTGCTGTTCTCGGTGCGAGTCCCGGTGTGGATCCCGGTGCGGATCCCGGTGGTGAGGATCCCGGTGCGGATCGCGGTGGATGTCCCGGGGGTGGAAGATGTCTCTGGGGCTTTCTCTGTCCCGGTCCCGGTCCCTCTCGCGGTGATGTCCTTGTGATGACTTGCCGGAGCCCAGGCCTAGTGCTCGGCTCAGCGAACCCTATGCGGAACAAAAGGAGAAAACACACATTAGGAAACGAAATCTATCAGCGCTTCAATGACAAGACGTAACTTGCTTCAAGTGGAAACAATTGGAGAAGTCAATGTAGGAATGTGACTGTGGATTTCAGTCACCAAGTATTTCAAATTAAAATTTTACCTGCGAGCTCCGCCATGTTGAGAACTGGAATGGTGGCAAGGGTCACATGAAAATAAAATAGTGGAAAATATTTTTGTTAGTTCCAAAACAAACAAAATGTACAACCATAACGCTATCCCGAGAAATGCTCACCTTTTTCAAGTAAAGTAGACTGTATGTCTGTAGAGAAGAGGGAAAACAGAATGTTAGAATGATAAAAACAGAGTAATTAGTATTAACTTAGTTGATTTCAAAGTTTTTACTGAAATTACTTTGTAGGCATTAAAAAAATGCGGACTACAGTGTTCATGCAGGAAGCAATTTTATTTGCAGCGAAAACAATTTTAAAGGCACCCTCCCCACAGTAAACCATTCACGAGCAGGCGAACGCTAATGACAGCGCCTGGTATACGCGATGGCTGGACCGAACCGCCAAGCAGCTGTGTAAAGGCGGTGGCCTATCCTGGGGGCACCTTAACGGTTTAAGCGGTTCACGGTAAGCCTAGTGCACAAGCAAGGCTACCTTACAAAACAGTTTTAGTTCAAATGTTTAACACATGGATGGACATAAACTTTCACGAACGGTTCTGCTTGGACGACTATGGAGCGAAGCAGTGGATACCAACCAAAAGCATTCTTACCTGAGATGACGTTTCTCTCACTGGACACACAAACACCCTCAGCAAACTTCCGAGCGGAGTATGACAGAGTACAGTCAAAATAAAGAGACATACAGAAGAGCAACGAGAGAAAGAGTGGTGAGGTAGGTGGGACCGGGAGAGAGAGAGAGAGAGAAAGAGAGAGAG